GCAGAGGGAGAAGCAGACTCCCCAACGTGGGAGCAAGGAGCCCGATGTGGGACTTGATCCCACAACCCTTGGATCATAACCTGAATTGAAGGCAGACACTTAACTGACTGAGCCACCCAGGTATTCTTAGTCATTTCTTTCTTTATTAAAAATTATTGTTAGGAAATGATCTGAAACTCTTCCAGCAAACTGAAGCCCAAATGATTGCTAGAGCATTTTCACTTGAAAAAAAAATCAACATTTTTAGTTTAAACTGAGGTAAAATTTGGGTAGGAGAGAAGCAGCTACACTCTCCCTTAGCTATAGGTGATAATCATGCTTCTAAATTTGTGATATTTAGAAATACAAATAGAAGTTATTTATTATTTATTTATTATTTTAAAAAATTATTCTTCTGAATTCACATCATTTCAAAAGAAGTTTGGATTCTCATAGAAATGTGGTAGCCTTTCTGGTCAATAATCCTTCTCTAAGCAACAGGTGGATTATTAAGAAAAAGGAGCTTATATAGGGTGCCTGGGTGGCTCAGTCGGTTGAGCATCTGCCTTTGGCTCATCCTGGGATCGAGCCCTACGTCGGGATCTCTGCTCAGTGGGAGCCTGCTTCTCCCTCTCCCTGCCACTTCTCCTGCTTGTACTCTCTCTCTCTCTGTAAAATAAATAAAATCTTTAAAAAAACAGAAAAGAAAAAGGAGCTTATGAAGTTGATTAGAATAACTTTGACCACCTATTTTGGCAAATGAACCTATGGAGCCATCTTATAATGAGTAGTTTATAAAGAATATTCAGAGCTGAAATTCAAAGAGCCCATTTATCAAAGGCTAAATTTATCAATTGCTAAATCAATTAACAGCAATTGCTAAAACATTAATTTTTTCCAGCTTTGAGACATAATTGAATATTACCTAGAGAACATTTACTTTTCAAAACATGTGTGATTCATTCAGCATTCAAAAAAAAAAAAAAACCCATTGGTTTTATACTTACTATACTTACTATGGTCACAATACTCTGCTAAAGGTTAGGAAATAAACATGAATAAGACTTACAGCGCTCATAGTCCAAAACAGGAAACAGAAAAGAAAATAATTGCAATAAAAGCAGTGATAGAGACTTGCCCAGAAGATTAAAGGCCAGGGTTTATTTCATGCAAAAGAATCAGTCCAGGAGGAGATACTGCTTTGTAAGGTATCTTATCTACAGAAAATAGTCAATAAATATTTATAGATGCTTATGATATTGGAGCTAAGCACTAACTGAAATCTGTTATTCTTTCTTACATTTCCAGGCTTGAAAGTTGCTTTGGGGGATATGAAATATATGTAAAAGTACTTTATGATTTATAAAATATGATGCAAATATATGGCATGATCAATATTTACAAACATTATCTGTTACATTTTTTAATGCAACAGTGCTAGCCTAATTTCAGAGACTTGCCCAGAGTGATCATTTTTTCTGCAGATGCACAACAGGGACCAAAATTAATAGACATAATCAGGCAAGAGAAGGTATTTATAAAATGTAGTGATACTATATGCTGGCTAATTGATAATAATAATTTAAAAAATTTTTAAAAATGTAGTGATCCAAAGGGGCACCTGCACCCCAATGTTCATAGCAGGAATGTCCACAATAGCCAAACTGTGGAAAGAGCCAAGATGTCCATCGACAGACGAGTGGATAAAGAAGATGTGGTATTTATATACAATGGAATATTACTCAGCCACCAGAAAGGATGAATACTTACCATTTACATTGACTGGAGGGTATTATGCTGAGCGATATGTAAGTCAATCAGAGAAAGACAATTATCATATGTTTCACTCATATGTGGAATATAAGAAACAGTACAGAGTATCATAGGGGAAAGGAGGGAAAACTGGGAAGAAATCAGAGAGGGAGACAAACCATGAGAGACTCTTAACTCTGGAAAACAAACTGACGGTTGCTGGAGGGGAGGTGGGTGGGAGGATGGGGTAATTGGGTGATGGGCATGTGATGTGATGAGCCCTGGGTGTTATACACAACTGATGAATTATTCAACACTACATCTGAAAATAATGATGTACTATATATTGGCTAATTGAATTTAAATTTAAAAAGAGAAGGTATTTATGTAATAAATATAAAAACATTTATGGGAATCCCCTGGCTTTTGAACTTTTTTTTTTTTCTGACATAGGCAGTATGCTTGTTTTTCTTCAGCAAGGAGACTACTTCACCTCATCAATACCCAGCTTTTAATTAGCTAGTCAATTAAATAGAAATTTTGATTCTTGGGATGCCTGGGTGACTGAGTCAGTTAAGTGTCTGCCTTCGGCTCAGGTCATGATCCCAGGATCCTGGGATCGAGTCCCATGTCTGGTGGGACTGTTCAGCTGGGAGTCTGCTTCTCCCTCTGCCTGCCATTCTCTCTCTCTCTCTCTCTGACAAATAAATAAATAAAATCTTTAAAAAATTTTGATTCTCGAATAATATAATCTTATTTATCATCATAGAACTTATATATTTTTTTATTCTTATGTTAATCCCCATACATTACATCATTAGTTTTAGATGAAGTGTTCCATGATTCATTGTTTGTGCACAACACCCAGTGCTCCATGCAGAATGTGCCCTCCTCAATACCCACCACCAGGCTAACCCATCCTCCCACCCCCCTCCCCTCTAGAACCCTGTTTGTTTTTCAGAGACCATCGTCTCTCATGGTTCGTCTACCCCTCCTAGAACTTATATTTTTGAATGAGTGTTGTTCTTTTAATATAGTCACTTTTAGAAATTATGCCCTTATTCCACTGCTCAAAATGATTTGCCAAGTCATGTTTCAGACTGTCTTTTAGACATCTTGGAATGTTTTATTTAAAAACAATATGCAGTATATTCTAGTGCCATGGAGATGTAAATTCCTTATGGAATATTTGAAACTTTGATAAGCAAAATGAGAAAATTTGAATCATCTATCTTCCCATCTCCTAGAAATAATAACCTTGAACATTTTAGCTTATATTCTTCTACTTTTTAAGAGAAAGATAATTCTTTTTTATAAATGGGATCATACTGGGATATTGTTTTGAATTATTTACCCCATATCTGCAATTTATTATATAGATATAATGTATTTTATCTAATCCATTTTCTATTGTTGGACACATTGTTTCTCTTTTTTTTCTATTAGAAAGAGCACTAGGCTGAACATGCTTATAGGGAATCTTTATTCCCACCAAAATTATTTCCCTAAACCAACTTACTAAAAATAAAATTGGCTAAACAAAGAGGATACATATAAATTGCCCTCCAGCAGTGTATGCCTGATTACCTAATCCCTTGCTTATTTTATATTATTTTTAAAGTTTTTATCAGCTTAGGAAGTAAAAAAATTGCTATTTCATTTTCAGGAGCACTTTATTTTTATGGGGTTAACCTTATATTTACTGGTTATTTTATTTCTTTCAATTGCCTAGTAGCATCTTTACACATGTTTCTCTTGATGATTTTTTTTCTTTATTTATTGGAAGATTTTATATGTTAAGGCTAGTATACAAAGTATACATAGTATATAAGGAATACATAGTATACAAAGTATACATGTGTTGCAGTTACCTTAACTAATATTATTTGTGGGCGCCTGGGTGGCTCAGTTGGTTAAGCGACTGCCTTCGGCTCGGGTCATGATCCTGGAGTCCCGGGATCGAGTCCCGCATCGGGCTCCCTGCTCAGCAGGGGGTCTGCTTCTCCCTCTCCCACTCCCCGTTTGTGTTCCCTCTCTCGCTGTGTCTTTCTCTGTCAAATAAATAAATAAAAATCTTTAAAAAAAAAACTAATATTATTTGTCTTTTTGTAATATTTTTGCTATATTTTAGCATAAAATTTTAATTTTTAAATAATTATTTTAATCTTGGCATTTTCATTATTTTAAAATACTTATTTGGATCTTTAGACAGGAAGATTTCATATGCAGAAAAAAGCAAAAACTATTTGATACTAATATTGAGAATAAGATCAATATTATAGTTGGGCAGTGCTATTTGGAATTTTTTTAAATTAGGTGGTAAGTATTGTGATAGCTGCTTGTAGAGCTAATCAAATGTTTTTAAATTTATTAATTTTATTTTATCAATATGTTACAACATATATTAAACCTCTATGATTAAGACTCACATAAACCTTATTAGTATTTAAAAGAAACTATTATGGTTACTTTTGCTAAAAATCCTAGACATATGCTTCTGTTTTAGATTCATCTGAGATCCTTATCATGTGATCTTGCTGTTTGGGTTCTAGATTGGGGCCTCTTCTGGGTTCTCTTGGCAGTGTTGTGTTCAGGCTGCTCATTACTAAAGTCTCATTGAGCTTGCTTTTCTTTCTCAGTCCCATTTGTATTATTTGGGGTAGGTTGTGGATAGTGAGGCTTCCTGTTCTTTCTCTATCATAACCCAGCTTATTAAACAGCATTAAGCTTTTTGCTTTCATGGTCCCAGGCAGAGACCCATTGTCCTTCTGCCTTGGCAGGTATGCACTCTAAGTCTATTGCCTGTAAATCATAAAATTCATATTTATATATTCAGTCTCTAGATACAAATCTTTGTAGTTGCAGAATACCCTGTTGATAACTTTCTCTGAGAACCTAATCTAATTTTAGGTTAATCTAATCTAATTTCTCCCTTTTCCAAGAGTGGTGCCAACTCAAACCATCCTGACTTTATCATTTATGTACTTTAAACTTCATCATGCACTTCTTGTTGAGTCCAGCTGCCTCATCTCTCCCTTGCATAATGTAGCCACAAGAAATAAGTAGTGTTATTTTTGCTTTGAGAATATGTTAGCGTGTTTGCCTCAAGACCATTAGCTAGCTCGTTACTTCTATGTCTAGTTATATAGCAGCCTTCTTAACCATTTAAGTGAATAGAATAAAAAAGCAGGCTCCTTTTGTAAAGGGAGCTGAGTGATGTAATAACTGACAATAAATATAAAAGGAATAAGGTAGGTTGGAATAATGTGGAAAGCTTCACAAAGGAGAACAATTTTGAGATACACTTTGGAATATGTTGTATTCTTCATACATAATTCTTCCTTCCTTCCTTCCCTTCGCCATGAATCCTGCTCTTCTCTATGACAGGATTATACTTACATGTCCCATTGACATATCTCTTTGTCATGTTAATTTCTTTCAATCTGAAATGTAGGCAGAAGTGGTTGATTTAGTACTAGCTCTGAACCAGGCCTGAAGAGAAATCATGTGTTTCTTTTTACTGTCTTGTGCTTCTGCCATAGCCATGAGAAGAACAGTCCACTGAAGGTTGAGTGAGTCATCTAGGACAGACCTGAACACCTGGCAACTTGAAGCCAAACCCACCTCAGCCTACAGAAATCAGCCAGACCCCAACTGACCCACAGACTTGTGAGCAAGAAAAATAAGTGTTGTTATAAGCCACTGAATTAGGGCATTATTTGGGACTTGATATTTTTGCAGCAACACCTGACTAACGCATACATATTGTAGGAAATGGTTAGGTCATGATCTAGTAACATCTTCCTTTCTGTTTCCACTATCTGCATCAGTTCAAGCTTCTATCCTGCCTCCTTGGATTGTTTAAAAGCTTCCTATTTTTTCCCACCTGCATTAGTTAGGGTAGCCCAATAGCTATAAGCAGTTGATCCAAAATTTACAGTGTTTCAAACACAATACAGGTTTACTTCTTGCTCACATTTCTGCACTATTATCAATAGGTGGTTGAGGATCCTCCTTCCACACAGCCACTCAGGGACCCAGACCGATGGAGACTTTTCTGCTTTTTTTTTTTTTTTTTACATGTGTCTTACAAGATACATGCAAGAAAGCCTAGAAAATGTAGCTTTAGCTGTGGGGACAAGAAAAAAATTGATAACATTGATTTTTTTAAGTTTTATTTTATTATGTTAGTCACCATACATTACATCATTAGTTTTTTTTTACACATTTTTTATTATGTTATGTTAATCACCATACATTACATCATTAGTTTTTGATGTAGTGTTCCATGATTCATTGTTTGCATATTACACCCAGTGTTCCATGCAATACGTGCCCTCCTTAATACCCATCACTGGGCTAACCCATCTCTCCACCCTCCTCCCCTCTAAAATCCTCAGTTTGTTTCTCAGAGTCCATAGTCTGTCATGGTTCATCCTCCCCTCCGATGTCCCCCCCTTCATTTTTCCCTTCCTACTATCTTCTTCTTTTTTTTTTTTTAACATAAAATGTAGTTTCAGAGGTACAGGTCTGTGATTCATCAGTCTTACACAATTCACAGCATTCACCATAGCACATATCCTCCCCAATGTCCATCACCCAGCCACCCCATCCCTCCCACCCCCCTCCACTCCAGCAACCCTCAGTTTGTTTCCTGAGATTAAGAGTCTCTTATGGTTTGTCTCCCTCTCTGGTTTCATCTTGTTTCATTTTTTTCCTCTCTTCCCCTATGCTCCTCTGTCTTATTTCTTAAATTCCTCTTATCAGTAGATCATATGATACTTGTCTTTCTCTGATTGACTTATTTCGCTTAGCATAATACCCTTGTTCCATCCGTGTCGTTGCAAATGGCAAGATTTCATTTTTTTGTTGGCTGCATAATATTCCATTGTATATATATACCACATCTTCTTTATCCATTCATCTGTTGATGGACATCTTGGCTCTTTCCATAGTTTGGCTATTGTGGACATTGCTGCTATAAACATTGAGGTGCATGTACCCCTTTGGATCACTACATTTGTAACTTTGGGGTAAATACTCAGTAGTACAATTGCTGGGTCATAGGGTAGCTCTATTTTCAACTTTTTGAGGAACCTCCATACTGTTTTCCAGAGTGGCTGCACCAGCTTGCATTCCCACCAACAGTGTGGGAGGGTTCCCCTTTCTCCGCATCCTCACCAACATCTGTCGTTTCCTGACTTGGATAACATTGATTATGATGAGCAATTTATAATCTCTGCTATCCCATCACTTGTTTAACAAGCTTTAATCTAGAGTTATTTGTCCTAAAAATTCAATGTGATATTAACTATCTGCCTAAAATCTATGTTCCTGATTGCTTACAGTTTCAACATCAAATTTAGCATATGATATCCATATGGACAGCTTCTGTTTTCATCCAGGAATAACACTGAAGAACAGGTGAAGCCAGCAGTTCTTTGATTTCTTCAGTACATAATTCTATCATATCTTAACAAGCAATGTAGAAGTTACCTATGATTTCATGGGAGAGGTAGAGGTCATTCACTGTATGGCAAACAACTCAATAATTCCTCATCACAATTTTCATTCTTTTCTAGTCTTTTTTTCAGCTATGTGACCATTTACGGTCACATTTTTTTTTTTACCATTTTACCATTTTTTTACCTTTTTTTTTTTTTTACCCCTCTAGCATGAAGTACCTAAATCTTCCCAGTTCCTCTATTCTGTGCCTGTAACTCTCTCTACCCATTCCCTTTCTTATACATCTTATAATAAACCAAATATACCAAACATGCATGGTCACACTCATCACCTCACTCAAGAAAATAATAAAGACCCTGCAATTGCTGATTCCACCACCCTCAGAAAGCAGTGGGGGATCATAAATTACATTTTACCCTAATACAAGAAAGACCTCTGTGGCTGGCTCATTTCCACTTCAAAAAATTTTATTTCTAGCTTTTCCCTTCTTGCCTCCTATATTCCAATCATGCTGAACCCCTCACCATACCTTGAACACATTTTGGTTTCTTCCTATTTCTGGGCCTTTGTGAAGAGTACATCCTCTGCCCAGAAGCCTTCTTCTGCTCTGCATATCAAGATCCCATAAATGCCTTAAGGGCTAGTTCAAGTATCGCTTTCACTGTGGAGTCTTACCTACCTTTATTCTACTGCCCCAACTTCACAGAATTCATTGTTCTTCTGTGCTCTCATAGAATTCTATACACACTTCTACTATAGTATTTATTACATGTTTAATATCCTAGTCAGGAATCTAGTTTGCCAGAATGGGGCCCTTGTCATCTTTGAATTCTTATTGTAGTACCTAACATGTAGCTTGAAACACAGTTTCTCGGTAAATGTTTGTTGATGCAAGAAAAACTTCTCTGAGAGAAGAGACAGGAGGCTCTCAGTTCATGACCAAAGCTTTAATAACTAGTCTGGAACACAGAGCAGTCCCATGAGGGAAGCTTTCAGGGTAACTTTAATTCTTTACCCCAAAGTGCTGTTATTGAAGGGAAAAAAAATTTGGAGCATTTTAATATGTTAGTTCCTTAAATTGCACTTTCTGTGAAGAGAAAGCTGAAAGAGAGGGGAGATTGAATGAAAGGAGAATACCAAGCCAGAAGCTAAGGACAGTCCAGAAATGTTATAAGAATGAAAATGTGTAACTTTTCACAGTTTGTTCACACAATATGTAAACCAATTTTCTGGGTTTACATGCATTTAATATAGCTTGACCTATGGAACTTATATCTTGGGTTTGCCTATAGAGGCTCTCTCTTTCAGGCCAAATTATCTGTCTAATGTAGCAGATAGAAAAATAATCCTATATCCCTACCAGTTCAATGAACGTTTTTGAATTAATAAAATAATCCAGGACCTATATTTTCTAGCGTTAGACAGTAACAAACAGCACCATGAATCTTTGCACAGAAGAACACTCTGAATGTGTTGTCAGTGTCTCAGGTTTCTTTCTTATCATTATGGCCTTGCTATTGAAGCTGACCAGAAATAGGTGAGTAAAATAATATCCTCATAAAACTCTACAGAGCAATTGCTATACATCCTCCAGAGAATTAGGCAATAGAGACATAGACAAGATATAAGGAAACCCTCTTCTTATACTAACTGGAATGGTAGTCAGAATATTACTTAAGATAGCTCTACTGCTATATACAAATAAATTTCCAAATCTCAATCATTTAACACAAAAGTGTATTTTTTTCCTCATGTTGGGCAGTTCACCTCCAAATAATAATTGAGGGATAATGTTGTCCTGGCTTTCTTTCAATCGTTTCTCCCATCTTGTAACTCCGGAAATTTCACATAGGACTCCCAAGATTAATATAGGTCTCCCGAGACAACCCAACATGGATTGTCTCCATCCCAAGCAGTGAGAAAAGGAGAAGTTCACAAGGACTCTTGTGTGGAGGCTTTTATGGGCCAAGTCTGGAAATGGTGCCTATTGCTTCTGTGTCCATTCCTTTGGCAAAAAAGTTATCAACACAAGGCCATGCCTAACTCCAAGTAAAGGTAGAAATGTGGTCAAAGACTATCCTTTCAGGAATCACTGTTATAGTTTGTTACTAGAAATGTAGTCTATTATAAGGAAAAGGAAACAGGTATGGTAGACAATGCTATAATCCATTGATAAAAAAAAGAATAAGAAAAACTTACCAATTCTCATTTCACAGATTACATATTTATAAATTTGCCTACTTACTAAAATTTGCATGTAACCCCAAAATCAAAATTTTCAGTGCTTTCACAGTCATTTGTGGACATGTACATAGCAGCAAAAAATTTGAGTCACCCAACTCTGCACATCACCAGCTGAGGCTAAATAAGGTGATGCTCTGCCTTCTTGTTTCAGCCCTCCTATTATAAACAAGTGTCCTTTTTACAGTCTGGTTGGTATCAAAGTTTTTTTATTTCACTGTTTCAAATGGCCCTGAAGCATAGTTCTGAAGTGCTCTTTAGTGTTCTAAGCATAAAGATATGAAGTATATGTGTTAGGCAAGCTTTATTTAGGTACGAATTATAGTGCTGTTGGCTGAGTTCAATGTTAATGAGTCAACAATATGTACTAAATAAGGTATCTTTAAACAGAAACTCAAATAAAACAAGATTGTGTATTGATTGGTTGACAAAAATATTACCAGAGGCTCACAAAAACCTAACCCTGTATTTCTCCTAGGAGCAGTGGTTCAGTATTTGCTAATTCAATCTTGAATTCATGTTCATGGGGGACTTTATTTAACTTAAGCTCTATTTTCAACTTTTTGAGGAACCTCCATACAGTTTTCCAGAGTGGCTGCACCAGCTTGCATTCCCACCAACAGTGTAGGAGGGTTCCCCTTTCTCTGCATCCCGGCCAACATCTGTTGTTTCCTGACTTGTTAATTTTAGCCATTCTGACTGGTGTGAGGTGGTATCTCATTGAGGTTTTGATTTGGATTTCCCTGATGCCAAGCGATATTGAGCACTTTTTCATGTGTCTGTTGGCCATTTGGATGTCTTCTTTGGAAAAATGTCTGTTCATGTCTTCTGCCCATTTCTTGATTGGATTCTTTGTTCTTTGGGTGTTGAGTTTGATGAGTTCTTTATAGATTTTGGATACTAGCCCTTTATCTGATATGTCATTTGCAAATATCTTCTCCCATTCTGTCGGTTGTCTTTTG